GCTAATAGCTTGATGAGATTACCTTGCTGACGTGGTGTGGTGGCTGGAAGTCGCTATGCTGGTCTTCAAGGAAGTGAAGGAGTGCCAACAAACGAAAAAGGGTTTGAGCCCGACGAACAGTAGCCTTCGTTGAGTTTCCCCTCAACTCAGTTACCGTACGGCGGGGCATATTGTTAACGGCTGGAATGTTAGCCGTATCTTATATATGTGTGGGTGCACTCAGATACAAAATTATTTAACGCACATTAGGGTGGTGCAGCATATTACGGTATGGGCCTAAACAGTGCGGTAACGAAACTGTTTTTCGTATCGATACTAAAGTATGTTGCCTGTATATGTACGTACATGCATGCATGATTCCTGTGAGGCACAAGGGCTTGATTGTATCAAATTCTTCGAATCGATACAAAAATATGTTGCGTGTATACATATGTGTATATGTATGTACATGTATGCATATTGTGGCGAATACTGAGCAGAGAAGTGAGTTGCGAATAAGCAAGCTATAAGTTTAATTGTGTTAACAAGTTTAGTAAAGCGTTGTTATTGCTTTACCAAGTATTGTTAAGTGTTTTTACTGTATTAGCGAATATTGTAAATTGTTTGTTGTACAATAAAGTTAATTGTACTACAATTTGGTCATCGTTAGCATTTATTTAACAATCCAGCGATACGAACCGAGAGATTTGGGAAATCCGGACGAGGTTTCAAGGATAATCGTAACAATATGGACGAACGAACATGTCCTTACGCTGCAAGATTTGTTGCGATAATTCTTATGAGGTACAAGTGCTTGTACGGATCAAGGCGAATTTATACAAGGTGGTGTTGATGGCGAATTAAATTTTCGCCGCGGTACTACTGAATGTCATGATGTGTTTGTTGTAAACAAGGCGAATTCATTTTACAACAAACACATCATTTTGACATTAAGACGTACCTCGGCGAAAATCTAAATTCGCCATCAACACCACCTTGTATAAATTCCCCTTGATACGGATGTTGATTGGATTAGTAACGAATACATACTGTAGGGTTTGTATTTGTGTTATTACCTTTTATTGTACTGTGTTCATTTCAACTTTGTAATTTTGGAAATTTTAGATTTATGTGATTTTTGTGGTTCGTCAGTCAAACAGAAAATTTTCATTTTTATTCAAACATTTTTCTTGCAACTGTTAACAACCGCATTATATACAATATTAAATATTAAATTGAATTTCTTTAAATCCTTGATATACTCACTACTACAATTGGCGATCCTACCAGGAGCGGCAATAGCTGTAGTTGGAAGCAAAATAAAAAAGTTTTAAGAGTGCTGTAAGCTCACGACATTTTTGGTCAGCAACCATTTTCTCTGTTGTGAATATAGTTCTACTAAGAAACAGTGTGACAGAATTAAATTGGCTATAACACGAAAGAACACTAGAGTTGCGAGGACATGTTTAGTGTGATCGAAAGAACGGTTAAGTGTAGTCTATAGCCGAATCCGTTAATAGTTAATCGCTCTCTGCATTGACGGAGAGGCAAGACGACAGCACTACAATTTGCGAGTACGGCGCCAACTATAACAACAACCACAATAGCAGCAACAGCCGCAGCAGCGGTTTCAACTAAAACGCGTCGCAACAGTTTCGTCAGTGGTAGCAAGAGCAGTTCTAATAAACCACATCAGCTACATCAACAGAAATCAGTTCACACATCAGCGTTAACGTCAAGCGTGCACATATCAAAAATCGCTCCCCAGCAATTGGTCGTGGTTACCTGCATCCTTCATACAACCGGAGAAAATCTCTTGTATACTTTGTGTCTGTTCATTACTGACAACAATAACAACGGAAACAAGCTGCAGCAACAACAACGGCAAAAAGTAGCAGCAATCAACACTGGCGATAAGCAGCAGCAACAACGACACCAAATCACAGCAACCGGCACAGCAGCTGCAGCAACTATCAGGTCGACCGTGCTGCTAATATCAGCAGTTTCAGAGCACAGTGGTGAGCTGTATCTTTGTATGTAATATTTTTGACAAATATATTTTTAATATCATATCTTCTTTTTAATTTGTTTCGGATAAATTGTAAACACTCCTTATAGAGATTATTTTATGTTATCATAATGTTTCGTTCACCCCCACATGATACACACACATCTACAGGGACTAATAATTTAAATGACTCGCTTATAGATTTGCAAAACAACTCTTTTCAAGAGGAGTTGGCAAATCCTTATGCTAGTCAAAATAATAATGAGGTGTATGCAACCTCAGTCAAGCTTCCACAATTTTGGACAAGTTGTCCAGAAGCTTGGTTTGTACATATAGAAATGCAATTTGACATGAAAAACATTACACAAGATACTAAAAAATATGAACACACAATCACAGCGCTTCCGCAAGAAGTAATAGTTACAATATTAGATTTCATTCAAAATCCTCCGCATAACAACAAGTTTTCATAATTAAAGAAAGTCTTAATTGAAAGGCATTCTTTAAGCGAAAATAAGAAATTAGATAAAATTTTGTCAGATTCAGAGATGGGTGATCGTAAACCCTCTGAATTTTATCGGTCGCTCATGTTGCTTGCAGGTTCCAATTGTAAGCTTAGTATCCACCTCTTAAGAAAATGCACAAGAAAATGTTCGTGTTCTTTCTTCTGCTTGAAATAGTAGTAGGCCAGTAATTTTGATTTTTGATAATGCACCGTTAATAGTAAACAATGGCAGAAGAAGAGCGGTAAAAAGTAAACAAAAGAAACAATCTTTTGCCTATGACCAATTTGTAAGTTTATAACAATATTTTTCCTTAAATTTATTAAAGTACATTTTAATTTATTTTGATTCAATTTCAGGAGATAGTTTTCAGTATCCGAAATGGAAGATGACGAGTAAGTTTTACAGGGAAATGTTCCGAATACATAGTATCGGTAATTTTGATGCTAGTACAAAAAAAAAAACAAAACGGGCGTGTCACCTCCCAATTTTCCAACTTTAAAGAACAAAGACCAAGGAATTCAATGACTTTCCCCTCTTTCTCTTCCGACTACAGGGCTCCACTGGCAAGCCTCCTGAAATTAGGGGAAAACCCTTGCCTTCGGTCGACGAACACGCTCATGGTCAAAACCCTTGCGTTCGGCCCTTGAACATGTTCAGGATCAAAATCCAATAGAAAGAATTCTCCTTTCTCTTGCCGCAGTATTATGTACTGATTTTTTCCCTGTTTTTATGAAAGTTCCTTGATTGAGACTTGTACGAGTCGAGAAAAAAAACAATGGGTCATTTAATTATTTACTCTTTGTCCTTTCAAGACGGAAAGGTAGGAGGTGCCATGCCCACATAATTTTTTGTACCATCCTCACTATCCGATACATTCCGGAACACAATCCGTTTTACACAATATTTTAACAAATTAAAATTTTTAAATCAAATATTTTATTATATGTATATTCTAGGTTAAACTTAATGATGTGCAGAGAAGAACGCGTAAGAAGGCGAGGTATTGGATGAGACCATACCTCAAGGAAAGGAATGATAAGGGAAGATTCATCACCGATTTCGAAAACTTGCGAAATTCACCGAGGCTCTTTGAAAATTTCCGTATGCCACCAGAAATTTTTGACGAACTTTTTGAGATGGTGGAGCCGCATCTGCTTCCGAAACGCCACTGCAGACCAAACGATTTTATCTCCAGCAAAGCCAAACTGGCAATAGTACTGAAGTATACTTACATACATTTTGCGCAAAGTCCATTTCTAACTGGTTTTGTTTTTTTGAAACACTTTTTTTCAGATACTTAGCTTCGGGGGATTTGCAGCGTCATCTTGCGTCCTGCTATCGTATCAGCAAACAGCATTTTGGCAGGATCGTCACGTGCGTTTGTGAAGCAATTTGGACCGTATTAAAAAAGGAGGTGCCAGAGTGGACGGAACAAAGTCTGGTGGATATAGCTGATGGCTTTAGAAAGCAGTGGAATTTTCCGAATTGCGTTGGTGCTATAGACGGCAAACACGTCAGTATCAAAGCACCTCCAAAAAGTGGAAGTATATTTTATAACTACAAAGTAAGATTACATTATGTGTATCGGTTATATTAAAAAGTAATACGAACTTTGATTTTTGTTGTTGTAGGGATTTCATTCCATTGTCTTGATGGCTACCTGCGATGCTGATTACAAATTTACGTATTTGGATGTAGGCGCTTATGGAAGTGAAGGCGACTCTAATATTATTAGAAATTCTAAATTTGGTGCGAGTATTCTTAATGACACCTGCCCATTCCCTCCCGATGCATTTATCGATGGCAAAAAAATACCGTACTTTATCGTAGGAGACAAGCAAGCGCATAATAAAGCCTTATAGTACGACGCATCTTTCGACAGAGCAAAAAATTTTTAATTACAGGCTGAGTAGGGCAAGGCGGTGCATTGAAAACGCGTTTGGCATCTTAAGTGCGAGATGGCTTTGCCTTCGAAAAGTGTTACTTTGCAGACCTGATCGCGTGCAAGTGATTGTTTCGGCATGTTGCCTGCTGCATAATTTTCTTATAAATAAATGTCAGCGTACATATAATCCTAATGTGTTCTCTGGGTTTGAAGACAGTACCGGAAATTGGGTGCCGGGAGAATGGGAAGCAATACAGCAACAAGAATGCACTTTCAATCAAGATGGACTAAACACCTACCGCGGAAGAGTTTCAGATTATGGAAAATATATACGGAAAATATTGACAGACCATGTTAATTCAGCTAGTGGATCGGTTCCCTGGCAAAACAATGCTACATTTCTTTGAAATTGTAAGACTCCCATTTAGTTTAATTCATTTATTTAAATAAAGTTTTTTTTATAATACATATATAAATTTAATACGAAGATTTTTTCTTTAAACCTAGTCAGTACTTTTCTTACTGTTGTTAAACTTTCTTTACAAAAATATAGGTGTGCGAGATTTTTACCAGTTTCGGCTTAATTCTTTTGTTAATTTAAGATTTATTAATTTTTTATTAATCATAAAAGTCTAGCTCATTATATGTATAACCAAGGCGCATCTATACAAGGTGGTGTTATTTGAACAGCTGATTGGATATTTTTGTCTCTACACTAGTACTGGAGAATGTAATCCAAGACGAAATTGTGCAACCTCAGGATGTCAACAAAACGAAATGGTGTAACTTCAGGATGTCAACAAAACGAAAGGGCGAAAATTATCTCCTATTTTCTTTCGTTTTGACATCCTGATGTACCAAAAAGCAATAACAAAATACACGGGACTTTTACTTATATGCAATTGACACCACCTTGTATGGATGCGCCTTGATGTATAACATCATAGAAAATCCACATTTAAAATTTTGTACAAAAATTATTAAGATTGAAATTCTGATGAAAATTTGGTGAATTTTTCTCATTTTTGTACAAAGCTTGAAATGTGGATGTATGTATATGATGTTATACAAATAATGAACTAGACTATTGTAAAAAATTAATAAATATTTAATAAACGAAAGAATAAAAGCCAAAACTAATAAAAATATATATTCGTACATGATGTATGCCACTAATTGTTGCTTGAAATTATTCCACTTTCTGTAAAAGTATGCTATTTATTCTTAATTAATTGTTGCTTTGTGTTCTTCCACTTTCTGTAAAAGAATGCTATTAATTGTTAAGCAAATGTCATCGCCAATATACCGTGGAAGCTGATTTAACAACCAGTCAAAAGTGGATAGTGCTTGTGTGTAAGGTGAGTTGTTGGTTGTGCGCCTGCGGTTTTCCAGCAACCTTCTTGTTTTTTTAAAATAGTACTGAAACGGTTCCATACCTCAGGATTCTGGCTTGTGCTAGATGACCTACAACGTTTTGGAGGTGCTGGATCCTGAAAGTGTGTATATAACAGTATAATTACACCGGCACAAAAAAAAAGTGGTGTGTGCTTTTAACCAGACCCACCAACCGATATGTATTTCGGCCCACTGAATCCGAGTCTGAAGTCCGTTTGACTCGTTCACTCCAAATTTCAAGTAAATTGCGAATTTTTTTTGTATTTTCGTAATTTACTCGAAATTTAGGAGGTTCGGATTCAGTAGGTTGAAATACATGTCGGTAGGTAGGTCTGCTTAAAAGCACACACCCCGTTTTTTTTGTGTGCCGGTGTTATAAACCGCACACCGCATTTGTACATCGCACACCGTCTTCAAAAGAGACACAACTCAAAGTTACACGTTCGTCAGAAAATGCGAAAAACTATATCTTAGCATATGTTAATTATATGGGCAAGGAAGACTTTACCTTGTTTTTGCAACAAATTATAACAAAAATTTACCCCAGCTTTTGCTGAAAGGTAAATAAAAGCTCTGCGTACATTTTTAGTGCATAATTTCCAAAATTAAAAATTTTGAGTTGTCACTTTTGAAGAACGTGTGCGACATACATAATATTTGTTAATGATATTTATAATTGGGGTGTATTTATAGTCCAAATAAAGTCGACACTAAAGTGTGTAGCAGCACAATTTTCAATGGAACATTTGCCAAAAAAAGCTACAGCTTACTTTAGAACCGACTTTATTATGACTATAAATATGTCCCATTGATACTTAATTTAACATCCACGTAAATTTATATGTGAATAACTATATATGCAGTCTGGTTAAACACATTTAAGTATACACGAAAATATATAATGGCCGATTATTCTGAAACGCAAACATATGTACATACACATGTACTCACGTAATCGTACTGTGTACAACTTTCATTAGGTTGTGAAACATTTGATTCCTCCGCTGTACATAATGGAGAGGTGTTTGACTCTTCTCCGAAAAGTGCTGGGGATGTGAAAGTCCTGCGGAAATAATATATTATATTAATGAAGTGGTAAAAGCTGAACTTAAGTACATTTACTTTCTTTTGTGGGACACATTTGGCAAGAATGCCATTTCCTCAGCGAACTCCCAATCAATAGCTTCAGAAAATGAAGGTTCCTCCAGCATTAAGCCACCAGCGCTACCGCTTTTGTGTTTTCGTGCCACCCTTGCGTGGTAGCGATAACTTTCCCGTAGACTTGTCCATCCGGCTTTGCATTCATTGACTAAAATAACAAAAACAATAAAATTACAAATATACAAAAACAAAGGGCTTTAATATTTACATACCATTTTTGCCTAGCGAATTGCTTATATGGACCCAAGCCTGTTCCACAGCATTTTTATTAGAATGTAATGGGTTTGTAATGTCCCATATCCTGGGCCACTCTTTAACCTCTCTTATTAGCTGCCTCTTCAACCTCCGCGAAATTTAAAATTCGCTTTTGCCGCTTTGATGTTGTAGGAGTGTTTTCCATTCCTGAAATGTATAATAAAATACAAATACAAATAGAAATTCAATGTTTTTTACTTACTTTCTCATTCGGCTGTCACTTTCATTCAAGAAATAAATAAAACTCGATATGTTTCTTCGATAAACCTGTGTTGCCATATTCAAATTTTATAAACAAGCGCAAGAAAAAAAAGCGTACTAAATTTCTTAAGAACTGGATACTACTTCAAGAAAATTTGACGCAAGAAAATTTCTTTGCCATTTCTTGTGTGTCATTTTATATGGAGTTTTTGCTTTTCTTGAGAGCTGGATACTAAGCTTTAGTCAAGATATTTTAAAGAAACTTTGGCTGAGAAAATTGCCAAAAAATCTTAGTGTGATATTAGCTAGTTCAAGTACCAATGATATAAATGAATTTGTGAAACTAGCTTAATAAAACCGAAATATCAGCTATGAATAGTTTTCAAAATTCTAAATCACAAGACACAATTATTGAGAATTTAGTTAAAACGACGAATCTTATGTGCGAAAATTTTCAAAAACTTTCCTTTGAATTAAATTCTATTAAGCAACAAATTAATCAAAATTCTAGATATAGATGATTTAATAGGAATTGTTTTAGAAGTCCATATAGAGGTAGATCAAAATCTCGTGATAGTCAAAATTGGTTATGTAGATACCATTACAAATTTGGTGATAAGGCTCAGAAATGTCAACAGCCTTGTGCTTTTTCTAAAAACAAAAATTCGTTAAACTAGAGTCATCCGTTGTTGTGGCGGCAAACAATGGAAATTTAGATATTACCACACGTCACCTATTTATTTTTGATAAAACAAACAAACTAAATTTTTTGATTGATAGTGGAGCAGAAATTTCTATACTTCCAGTAAAAAAATTCCCTCATACAAAACGTTCTTCAGATATAATACTTACTGCAGCCAATGGTTCAACGATTTCAACGTATGGTAAAAAGATTTTAAATATAAACTTAGGTTTAAGACGCGAGTTCCCATTTACGTTTCTCATAGCTGATATTGCGAAACCTATTATTGGGGCAGATTTTCTTTGCAAATACGGTCTCTTAATTGACATGAAATGCAAACGTTTAGTTGACCCAGTAACAAGTCTTTCGGTTAACACAGTTTCATGTGTTTGTAACATTTCGCTTCCAAAAATTTTCGTAGTAGAGAACAAGTATACAAGATTGTTGAAGGAGTTTCCTTCTTTGATCGCTGAACCAGATTATTCGAAACCGGTTAAACATTCTACGGTTCACAGACTTTTTACTGAAGGAAATCTGCCATTCTCTAAGCCCAGGCGCTTGGATCCGATTAAATTTAAAGTAGCCAAAACTGAATTCGATTTTTTAGTGAGGACAGGGATTTGTAGACCTTCAAATTCTTGTGTAGCATCTCCACTGCATCTTGTACCTAAAAAAGAACTGAATGGCTGGCGTCCTTTTGGTGATTTTCGGAGACTTAATGTTGTGACTGTACCGGACCGTTATCCTTTACCTCATATTCAAGATTTTAACATGAATCTCAGAAATAAGTATATATTTTTGAAATTAGATTTGGTAAGGGCCTACCACCAAATTCCAATGGCAGAAGAGGATATCTATAAAACTGCAATAACGACACCTTTCGGTATGTTTGAATTTATACGAATGCCTTTCGGACTAAGAAATTCAGCGCAAACTTTTCAAAGATTTATTAATGAAGTAGTTAGTGGTTTAGATTTTGTTTTTACATATATTGATGATCTATTGGTTGCAAGTGAAAATGAAGAACAGCATTTTAAAGACCTCCGTATACTTTTCCAACGCCTAACAGAGTACGGGTTAAATATCAAACCAAGTAAATGTACTTTCGGTGTAACAAGTGTTGACTTTTTAGGACGTAATATTTCTGGGGCAGGAATTAGACCCTCTGATGAAAAGGTGATAGCAGTTCGTAGTTTTGAACATCCTAAATCTATTAAACAGGCGCAGAAATTTATAGGCATGGTTAATTATTACCATCGATATGTACCAAAATTAGCTGAGTTTGCGGCAGTTATCTACGATTTAATCAATCGAACAACTAAGAAACGTGACAAGTCCTTAGTTTGGGATAACACAAAAAATAAAGCCTTTGAATGTATTAAAGAAAAGTTTGCGTCTACGGTATTGTTAAATCATTTTAACAAAGATGCCAAACTCTCTTTAAATGTGGATGCATCTAATACGGCAATTGGTGGTGTCATACATCAAACGTCTGATAACAAATCAGAGCCACTAGCTTTCTTTTCTAAGAAACTTTCTCCATCCGAGGTTAAGTACAGTGCATTTGACAGGGAGTTGCTAGCTATTTATTTGAACATTAAACATTTTCGCTATCTTTTAGAAGGACGACAATTTACAGTTTTTACAGATCACAAGCCTTTTATATATGCTTTGAGTTCAAAACCCGAACGTAGTCCGAGACTAACTAGACATATGGAATTTATTGCACAATTTACTAATGACATACGATATATTAAAGGACGGGAGAACATTATAGCTGACACATTATCTCGAGCTTTCGAAGTTGATACAATTAAGGGTACAGAACTGAATTTCAAAGTTTTACAAAATGAACAAGAACAGGACGAGGAACTAAACACATTAAAATCTGGAGACACATCACATAACCTTAAATTAATTCAAATTCCACTTTTAAATTTTAATATTTGGTGTGAAATGACAGGTGAGAATCCTAGGCCATTTGTTCCAAATTGTTTACGCAAGACAGTGTTTAATATGTTACATGGTCATGGTCAAAAGAATGTATAAATTGTCAAAAATCGAAGGTTAATCGTCACACTAAATATCCAGTAATTAAAATTCCGATTCCCAAAAGTAGATTTGATCATATTCATTTAGATATTGTTGAACCTCTTCCTGTACCGAAAGGACATCGTTACATTTTTACAATAGTTGACAGGTTCACGCGTTGGCCCGAGGCATACGCATTAAAGGACATTTCAGCGGCAGTGGTTGCAAATAAATTTTTTAGAGAATATGTTTGACGTTTTGGGGTACCGTTAAAAATCACTACAGATCAGGGTACTCAGTTTATGTCAAAATTGTTTTCGGAACTAACAAAATTGCTTGGTAGTCATCACGTTACAACTTCAGCATATCATCCTCAAGGGAATGGTATGGTAGAACGGTTTCACAGGCAGTTAAAAGCTACGATAATGGCTAGAAATGGAATCAACAATTGGTATGATGAGCTGCCGATAATACTTCTGGGTTTACGATCGATGTATAAAGAAAGTATTTCAGCCACATCATCTCAGATGGTTTTTGGGCAAAATTTACGCCTACCCGGTGAACTTGTAGTTCCATCTGAAGAAAAATTTTATCCAATTGAAGTTTTAGGCGATTTGCAGGAACATTTTAAAAATGTTAAATCTAATTTAAGTCATAATCAAAATTCTGATACTACTGGGCATGCATCACGTAACTTTGAAACGATAGTCGTGCAAACGATACTACAAAAACGATGTCGTCAAAACACTGATTCATGTATGTTCTAACTATCGCATCGTCTTTCTTGTCGGCTATCGTTTTTCATCAACAGTTTGAAAAGCTGTCCATGTGTCACACAAATTCTATTATTTGAATATTAAAACGCCAAAGAATTTAAATTTTTTAAGAATAAATACAAAAAACATGTAAGCATTAATTTAAATATACATTTATACTATTTGAGGAAATTGTAAATTTTACATAATTTAGGTCGGTTACACCAGCGCAAGTTGATTTGATGACGAGTTTCATGAACGAGCATCCAGAACTAGCAAAAGGTTATGTCCCAAGGAGTGCTCAAGGGAAAGCCGAGCTCAATAGATTATGGACCGAATTAACTGAAAATTTAAACGCTTCTGGACTTCCCAATAAACCCATAAACTCATGGCGGAAGGCAAATACACTTTGTGTTGTTTAAAGTATATATGTATTAAATGAGTTCCTCTTTAGGTATGGACAGATTTAAAATATCGGGCGAAAAAAAGTGCAGCCACAATATTGCATCACTGAAAAAAACTGGTGGGGGGCCATCCGAAGAAATTCCTTTGACGACAGCAGAAGAAAAGATTATAAGCTTGACCTCGATCAAAGAAGCTGTGAGTGGTAGCAGTTCGAACTGTTTTGGTGCACCACAACAGTTGGAGAAGGATGATGATTACGTGGCTTTCATTGAGATCGACGCCAACGAAGAAGTGGAAGAAGTGGAGTTTTTGAATTTAAATACGAGGTAAATAGAATTGAAACCATAAGGAATTACTTAAATAGCTAATAAGGAACTTTTCTACTTATTTTAAAGCTCGACAAAGCTTGTCGACAGAACGACAAAGCGCCCAAAAAGAAATGAAACCGCTGCTGAGATTTTGAAAAACCAAATGTTATCAGACCAAGATTTTCAGACAGAATTTTTAAATATTATGCGAGATAGGAACGAGGATCAAATACGGTTTCACAATCGCGTTATTGATCTCCTTCAAGAGAAGAACAACATAGCAAAGGAGCACCTAGAATTGAATAAAAATATGTGTGGTTAGAGTGTAGCTCGTTAATATGGATTTGTAGTATACACGTATGTGCATTGGGGTGGTCCAAAAATGCATACGAAAAAATTAAATTCGGAATTTAATGCTCTCACCCCTATCATTGTTCTATATCGAAAAATAAAACATTGTTTTTTTTTTGTTTGTAGGGGTATATTTTTCTATATAGAACAATCCTAGGGTTGAGAGCACTGAAATTCTGATTGGTTTGGACCTCCCTAATATACATAAATATGTATATAGAGCATTTTTATGCTTTTCCGC